ACAATCAGAATGTTTGTATAAAATGATATTGGACACATCCTATAAAAATAGTCTGGATGACCCTTTTCAAGAACTATTGATTTCTAGTTATTAATTTAATTCAGAATAAACTTCCACTTATTAGGGATTTTCAGAACAAAGCCTGCTAAGTAACTTGGCAGCTACTCTGATGAAGAGTTCTACGCCAAGGCAACTTGGGTGTGTGTTGGCTGAATTTGATCGCAAATCCTCATAGTAACTGTATTCATTCAGAGCTGGCTAATTCCTTGTTATTCCAGATTTTCCAAGTGAAAGAAAAGGAAACTCAAATCCAGGAGACTGGTATTATGTAACAAGGTTCTTACTAGGCAGTGGGGGAAACTAGCTAAATAAGACCACCACTCCTGTTCGTAGTGAGCTCACTACTGAAAAAGTGGGAAGAAGTGGGAGGAGTCCACAGCTCCTCCGTGGCCTCCAGCAATATACAGTGGGTGGCTAAGATCATGATGCCTAAAAAGGCTAGGTAAGGTGGCTCACAACTGTAATCTCAGCCACTTGGGAGGCTGAGGTAGATCACTGGCGCTCAGGAGTTTGAGATCAGCTTGGGTGACACAATGAGATCCTGTTTTTTATTTTAAAATGCCTAGTAAATAGTTCACAAATACGTTGCATAAACGAAGAAATGGAAGGGGGGGGGGAACAGGGTATAAGTGTAGATGTTCCAAGTTTGCCAGATAGTCTCTTTTGTTTTTGAGTCAGTCACCCAGGTTGGAGTGCTGTGGTGTGATCTTAGCTCAAAGCAGCCTTGAACTCCAAGGCTCAAGTGATCCTCCCACTCAGCCTCCCAGTAGCTGGGACTAGAGGCACATACCACTGTATCTAGCTAATTTTCTCTTATTTATTATTATTATTTTTGGTGTGGAAATGGGGTCTTGCTATGTTGTCCAGGCTGGTCTCAAATTCCTGGGCTCAAATGATCCTCCCATTTCAGTCTCCTGAAGCTGGGACAATAGATACCACCTCTTGGCTGGGGGAAGAGTTTCTAAAAAGGCCGTTTGAGATAATACCTAACAATGCCTTTCAGTGATTCTGTAGCAACATTATCCTACAGGAGCGCATTATCCTATTTTGGAGGAGAAAAGAAATACTATTGGTTAAATGGCTTTCTCACAAACAAGTATTCCCAACTTAAAATGTAAAAACCCAAATTCATTTGCTTTGTTTCCCTTGGCTGAAACACTCTGCATAGAGTGTTCTGTCTTATGTTTTAAAAAAAGTTATCAAATTAGAGCCACTCTTTTTCAAGGCCTTATCATTTCCTGCTTCTTTTCCTCCGTGCCTCATTAATTCAGTGCTCTGAGTCTAGATAGTTGCTGGAGAATCCTGCTTAAGCCTGATTGGTGAAGGTAATGATAGGAAGACTTTTGAGCCCTGGCCATGTGATCCTTTCTCCTTCTAGAAAAAGTTGCATGTCCCATCCCAGGAGATAATTTATAATTTCAATGGAAATATATAATTTCATGCAAAATTATCAACATTTCACTTTCCGGAGTATATGTATGCTGATCCTTCTAATTTTGCCATTAGCAAATAGGAAAAGACCATGTCTATTGCTGCCACAAATAAGGAAAAAAAGGCTTAGTTGCATCACTTTTGCCACTTTAGTCATTGGTTATGCCCAGGATTCTGGCCATGAAGCTTCACCATGAGTCTAATCCCTCTTTTTGTTTGGCTTTTCTTGTTGGAAGGAGCAGAGACTAATCAGAGTTTTCTATTTAAAAGAGAACAAAGGCTCGGCGCCTGTGGCTCAAGCGGCTAAGGCGCCAGCCACGTACACCTAAGGTGGTGGGTTCAAATCCAGCCCGGGCCCGCCAAACAACAATAATGGCTGCAACCAAAAAATAGTTGGGCGTTGTGGTGGGTGCCTGTGGTCCCAGCTACTTGGGAGGCTGAGGCAGGAGACTCGCTTGAGCCCAGGAGTTGGAGGTTGCTGTGAGCAGTGAACCCATGGCACTCTACCCAGGGGCTCAGCTTGAGGCTCTGTCTCAAAAAATAAATAAATAAATAAATAAATAAATAAAAGAGAACAAACGCTCCATCAACAGAGGGGTGAGAAGCAAAATGGGTAATCCCTCACTGTTCTATAATGTATCTGTGGTAGAAAATGAAGAGGCTTGGAATTGAACTCTTTGTTTTTTGAGATCAGACTTGTTTTTCATTTTATCTCTGAAATTTTCATTTGTAAAAAGAATCAAAAGAAGCCAGGCATGGTGGCTCACACCCATAATCCTAGCACTCTGGGAGGCCGAGGCAGGTGGATTGCTTAAGCTTAGGAGTTCGAGACCAGTCTGAGCAAGAGGTAGCTCCCCACCTTTACTAGAAAAAATAGAAAAATTAGCTGGGCATGTTGTGGCAGGTGCCTGTATTCTAAGCTACTTGGGAGGCTGAAGCAAGAAGATCGCCTGAGCCCAAGAGTTTGAGGTTGCTGTGAGCTATGATGCCACAGCATTCTACTCAGAAGAACAGAGTGAGACTCTTTCAAACACAAACAAATAAAACAAATAAACCAAATCTCCCCTCCAAACTTGACAAGATATGAAACTGTTTTTGTTTTTGTTTTTGAGACAGTCTCACTACGTGGCCCTCAGTAGAGTGCCCTGGCGTCACAGCTCACAGCAACCTCAAACTCTTGGGTTTAAGCAATTCTCTTGCCTCAGCTTCCCAAGTAGCTGGGACTACAGGCGCCCACGACAACGCCCAGCTATTTTTTGTTGCAGTTGTCATTGTTATTTAGCTGGCCTGGGCTGGGATCAAACCTGCCACCCTCAGTGTATGTGCAGTGTTGTAACCACTGTGCTACTGGCACTGAGCCTGTTTTGTTTTTTAGAGACAGAGTCTCAAGCTCAGTAGAGTGTGATAGAATCATAGCTCATAGCATCCTCAAATTCTTGGACTTAAGCAATTCTCTTGCCTTAGCCTTCCAAGTAGCTGGGACTACAAGTGCCCGCCACAATGCCCAGCTATTTTTTTTGTTGTAGTTGTCATTGTTGTTTAGCAGGTCTAGGCCGGGTTCAAACCCACCAGCCCTGGTGTATGTGGCCAGCACCCTAGCTGCTAAGCTACAGGCACCAAAACAAGATATGAAATTGTTATAACAGTACTGGATCTTCAGGTGTTAGCTTGTTTCATTCATTTGTTCAAAAATATTTAATAAGCACCTACTATTTTTCCTGCTGAACAAATCAAGTTGCTCCAGGGCTATTGTACACAGCTGTGCAGGTAAATGGTATGCACTATAGTTGTGTAGTTCACAACTTCCACTACTGTAAGTGGTCCTGGCCTTCGTGGAGATTAAATCTAGTAACTTCTAGGAGGTCTTTCTTTAGCTTCTATCCCTCTTCCTCAGACTGGAAAAAGTGCTCCTATTCTGCACTCCATAATACAGTCAGCCATAGCACCTACCCATTTATTTATAACAGTGTCATCACCTGTCTCCTGTGCTAGATTATAAACTCAAAGTGAGTTTATCACTTGTTTGTCACTTTCTAGGGGCTCGGCATTCCTAGCTCCTAGATTAAAGGAGTCAAAAATCCCTGTCCTCTAGGAACTAATATCTAGTAAAAGGAGAGAGAACACAAGTCAAACACTAGCATGATAAGAGATAAATGCTAAGGAGAAAAGGTAGGGGAGAGGACTTTCCCTTCATCTGCTCTAGGTCTTGCTCAAATGCCAGCATTTTAACTTAGAGATAGGAAATCTTTGAAGGTTGGAGAAGAGAGATACTATTTGTCTGAAAAGAAAAACAGCATTTAAAAATAGAAAATTAGGCACACTTAGCAAAAAAGCAAGTAAGGCAGTTATCAGATCTCTACTTCACCAGGAATCGGAGCATAGCAATAAAGGTTTACAAGGAACGTAGAGAGTAAGGGCTCAGCTCTTCTTCTCTAATACTCTAATATTCTAAGATTTTTCTTTTCTTTTCTTTTCTTTTCTTTTCTTTTCTTTTCTTTCTTTCTTTCTTTTTTTTTTTGAGACAGAGCCTCAAGCTGTCCCCCTTGGTAGAGTGCCATGGCATCACAGCTCACAGCAACCTCCAACTCCTGGGCTCAAGCGAGTCTCCTGCCTCAGCCTCCCAAGTAGCTGGGACCACAGGCGCCCACCACAACGCCCGGCTATTGTTTGGTTGCAGCCGTCATTGTTGTTTGGCGGGCCCAGGCTGGATTCGAACCTGCCACCTTAGGTGTATATGGCTGGCGCCCTAGCTGCTTGAGCCACAGGCGCTGAGCCAGACTTTTTTTCTGAATACTATTTTTTTGGAGACGGCATCATTGCTTACAGCAACCTCAAACTCTTGGGCTCAAATAATCCTCTTAGCTCAGCTTCCACAGTAGCTGGGACTACAGGCACCGGCCAGAACACCTGACTAGTTTTTTCTGTTTTTAGTTGAGACGGGTCTCATTCTTGTTCAGACTGGTCTCCAACTCAAGCAATCCTCCTGCCTCTGCCTCCGCCTCCCAGAATGCTAGGATTACAGGTGTAAGCCACCGGGTTGGCCAATCTGAGTGTTCTAAACTGGGCTGCTTTTGCATTTTTGCAAATAGCAATCCATACATTTTAGTATCAGTGTACCGATCTTTGTGTACTGTAGGTAGGTGGGCCGTCCGTGGTTATGTTATTCGTTAAGCCTTTCTAACCCGTTCTTTTTTGAGATAGCTTCTCATAAGGAAGTAACACTCTAGATAATACAGAGAAAGGTCGCTGTATTTAACACATATTTACACTGGCATTTTCACATCCATTATACCCTGAGGACAAGCATGAGCGTATCTCTTCCCTCCTACACTCCTAGTTTCAATCCTAGCCTTTGGACAGGAACCAGGGACGTATCCCCGCCCCAAGCACCCTCCCTCCTTGCTCCGGGCCAGCCCTGCCGCGCAGCCTTCTGGAAGCAGTAGGCAAGCACAGTCCTCCTGCCAAAACTACAACTCCCGGCAGGCTGTGTTTCTTCCCACCCCCTCGTGGCGCAAGGCCTGCCGGGAGGGGGCAGGTAGCGGGAGGGTCGGGTCCAATGGGTGCCGGCTCCCGAGGAGAGGGAGGAGGAGAGGAGGAAGGAGTCGACTTCTGGGCCCCGGCCCCATTCATTGCAGCGGCGGGGCGGGCTGGGGGGGGGTCTAGTGTCTTCTGAGTCATGGAGGCGCTAATTCCTGTCATCAACAAGCTCCAGGACGTCTTCAACACCGTGGGCGCCGATATCATCCAGCTGCCTCAGATCGTCGTAGTGGGAACGCAGGTGAGGAACGAGGGGAGGGTTCGCGCAGGCCAGAGTCCGGGACGCGGGCCTGGTCTGGCTGCGGCAGTGCCCTCTCCTGGGTCAGCCTTGGCGGCCTGTGGGAGGAGGGCCGTGGTGGGGACGCCAGGGGTGTCCCGGCTCCGTCGCGCCGGTCCGCCCCGGGCTGCCTTGCACCGAGGCGGAGAACCCCGGGTCCGGCCCGGCGGCGAGGGGCGGAGCCGGCGCAGCAGGCCCGGCGGGCCCCGGAGGTTGGGAGGGGAAAGGATGGGCCGGCGGGCGGAACTGGAGTCCTCTGGGACCGGGCGCGGCGTGGTCCTCGGGCCGCTGCTTCCAAGGGCACCTGGGGGACACGCAGGGCACCCGGGGCCGAGCTGGGCTCGCGGTGGGCTAGCTAGCCAGAGCTCGGCTGGCTTGTGCGCGGCGAGGTGTTTTGTTTCCCTCCTATCCTTGCCCAAGGGCTGCAGAGTCAGTTTTGGAACCGCACTATGTAGGCTGACAGGCAGGCCAGTATGTATTGCCGGAGTGTTTTCCTGCTTTGTAACCGCTCCAGGTTTCGAGAACACTGCTTAAAGCAGCGTTTAAAAACAAAAAGTCCCACTTGTACCTGGAGTTCTGTAGATGTTAGAAAGAAATACCCGATTTTTCTGTGTAGGCTGTGGTTTTGGCTTTCACAGTTTTGTGATCGTGACCTAAATTGGGCATCAGGTTGTGGCCTTTTCATGTTGGATCTCATAGATAACTCATTTTTTTTAGGTGCAGAAATGTTGAGAAAATGTCATTTCTAAAGTATAAGTTTAGAAGACAGAAGTATAAGTTTCATTTTCTTTGCTGCTTTAACTAGAGTCAGTCGTAGGATTTTTATTAGCGTTCAGAGAAACAGATTTTAGAGATTACTTAGTATATTTATTTTAAGGGCTTTCATTTCTTCTTCTTCTTCTTCTTTTTTTCTTTTATTGAGACAGTTTCATTTTGTCGCCCTGGGTAGAATGCCATGGTGTTACAGCTAACAACGACCTCAAATTTTTGGGCTTGAGCAATCCTCTTGCCTCCACTTTTCACTTTTAGTAGAGACAGGGTCTTGCTATTCCTGGGGCTGTTCATGAGTTTAAGCAATACCCGTCTCCACGTATCAGAGTGTTAGGATTACAGGCATGATTTTCTTAATAGTATCTTTTCTGTGGAGAAGGTAGTGGTTTCCCTGTCATTTTCCATGAGGTGCATAGCTACATCTTGCTACAAAATAAAAGTGTAGGGTGTAAATATTATAAGAAGGAATGTAATGTTCAAAATATTAGTGTATATCCAAATACTGCAAACCTCATAAACCATGGAGGTCTTGTACTTTTTTTTTTTTCTTGAGACAGAGTCTCACTCTGTAGCCCTGGGTAGAGTGCTGTGGTGTCATAGCTCACAGTAACCTCAAACTCGTGGGCTCAAGTCATCCTCTTGCCTCAGTCTCTCGAGTAGCTGGAACTACAGGCATGTGCCACCACCCTAACTTTTTTTTTCTATTTTTAGTAGAGATGGGGTCTCATTCTCGCTTAGGGTGGTCTTGAACTCCTGAACTCTAAGGGATCCACCTGCCTGGGCCTCCCAGAATGCTAGAATTATAGGCATGAGCCACCATGCTGGCCTGGCCTGATATCCTATGCTTTTTCTGGCTTTTAAATAGTTAAACCAGGGCTGGGTGCAGTGGCACACACCTGTAATCCCAGCACTCTGGGACACCTAGGTGGGTGGTTTGCTTGAGCTCCCAGGTTAGAGACGAGCCCTACCCAGTGTTGAGTCCTCATCTCTAAAGATTGCCAGGCGTGGTGGCTAGCGCCTCTAGTCCCAGCTACTTGGGAGGCTGAGGCAAGAGAATCACTTGAGCCCAAGAGTTTGAGATTGCTGTGAACTATGACTCCATGACACTACCGGGGGGCAAGAAAGTGAGACTCTTCCCCCCCCCCCAAAAAAAGGTAAATAAATAGTTAAACCACTAAAAATTATCTTAGAAACAAATTTCTTTGGTCTGCTGTAGGTGGAATTGGTATAGTGCTCAATCCTGCCTCTGTATTCTGTTATTTGTAACAATATTTGTAATGATAGGTGACTGAGAATCAAAAATAATAAATTATGAGAATACTTTTATTGAGCATATTTTGTTCAGTCTGGGACATGTAATTGGTGCTCCACAAACACATAGGATTTTTATCATCAAAAGTGATCTGTTTTTGTAAATAGAAACAGAGGAGATGATATAAATTAAATCTTCCTTGTAGTAATTTGGAAGTGTTGCTTAGTTGCAGACCAGAAATTTTCCATATACTTTAAAATAAATTCTCAGTGCTTTTTGAGCATGAAACACTAAAAGAATCGGGGCCATAATGTGTCAGCATATTTTAAAATTGAGAAGTATTTTTCTCATACAAAATAGTTTATTTCAGTCATTAAACCTGTTGACAAAAATAGAGAGGGCTAGGGGATCCCATCCTTATGAAAACTGTTGATATGTACTAATGAAAACTATCCTAAGTAGTGACAGTTATATGCCACATGCATGTTGATCTTTGAAATTTCTCACGGGATTGGTTTTTCCACTTGTTTTAAGAAGATTTA